TCACAGCATTGCTCATACAAGATAGGTTTTAAATCGAGATTATGATGGTACACATTGTCTCTATTGTTGCTTGTGCACATGGTTTGTATTTCGTTTATCATACCTACGTGCGTAAGTACAGTAGTAGTAGTAGCATCAGTTTGTATACTTATATTTACATCAGACGTTGAAAATGATGTGTCTATTACATCTTTCTTGCTGGCATCGATAACGTCCGAGTCTTCGTATAAAGTATGTTCTAAATCGTGCTCGGTGGCTTCAATCATATCGTTCTCTAAAAACTGATTCTTATTTGTGCTTATATCGTTATTATTGCTATTTTCACAGATTGTTGTATTCTCGTCCATGCTTAATTTATCACATCTAACACAGATGTAATCATCCTCTGTGAGCGAGTTGTTTGTAACCTTTAAACTACTATCTCCTTTCTCCTGCTTTAGGCAATTTTCAAAATTATCCAAAATTTTCTTGGAATCAACAACAGTATCAATCACCGATACCAATTCTTTAACCTGAAAAAAAAAACAAATATATTAATTTTACATATTAAAATAATTGTAGAGCATGTTACTATGTTGATTAAAATAATCGTTGTATACCTTAAAAATTTGTGCCGCAGTATGCAAGGATGATAAATGCTGATGAGATATCGTAGTTTCGCCGCAATACATGAATTCGACCATGGCCTTCAAAATTTCAAAGTCCAAGTCTTTTAAAAGTATAATTGGCTCTTGTCCCAAATCTTGTTGTAGTATTTCCTATAATATGAAACAGAATAAAACATTACGAAAAATATTAAAAAGATAAAATAATTGAGAGTTGGAGAATAAAGAGAACGTCTAAGTAGATGCCCATACAGAATGTTTAATGTTGTTGAAGATTCATTTTAATATTTGTTCAGAATGCATTTAAAATTTGTCTTTTTCAAATTGTCAGATATTAATTTGTGCAGTAATGATTCCTCAAGTTGCATACAGAGAAATAGTAAAATCATGCAAGCAGAATATTTCCATATACCTTGTAGAGTAATGCATTTTTTAGAAAACAGAAACACCTGAGAGTGTACTTTACTATCCTTACAGCATATAAATTAGTTATTTAATACCTTTCTAAGTTCTTCGAAAGTTGTGAAAAGTATGCCCCTCAAACTTGGTTTCTTCAAATGTTTGTTAAGAACTACTGAAATTCCGATATACAAGGCTTTCTTTAGTTTATATGAATTTTATATTATCCCTGCAAAATTGTTCTACCGTAAGTACACTATATTTCCCAATTTTGAAGTAATGTAATAAAATACCTTTTCTTTTCTATTATTGTTTATATCAATAATAAAAAAAGTCCAAAGTCTTTCTATAAATGTAGAATGATGTTTGGTAGACATTTTAGTGAAAAATCGGTTAGTACAAAATTTATTTTGCTTTAAACTAGCACAATATTCATAAATCCTGAAGTAATATATAATATATTTGTAATTATATAGGTATGTCATATACATCTAGTTAAATAATCCTACATATATTACAATAAATCATCTTTCTTTACTATACATATATTTGTACGTGTATAGAATCTTTCTGTATTCTTTTAAAAATAATATATTATACAAAAAATTTTGTTCATCACACTAATAGAATAAATACAATCACAAAAATATAATTCGAAATTACCATTACCTTGTTTCAACGAGAAAAACAGTTAAATGTTCTTTTAATCAATAATTATATACATAAATAATATAAAATAAATTTTTAAAAGAATATATCTTTAAAAATTCATTCAATAAAATTTTAATAATACTGCTCAGTCATCAGTCGATCTGGAAGGAAAAAGAGATCCACATCCAAACATTAATCAACATCAATACATTTAAATAAATTTAAAATAATTTTCTGTAATAAGTATAAATAACTCAATTAATGTTACTGTCCTGGTAAAAGTTCTTATCTCTATACTTTCTAATTATCTTTATAAAATTAGATGCAATTATATACAACAGAGAAAGTTCATATATATTATTTTTGTTAATATAATCTTTTATTATTGTGCTATTTTATAAAACATTTGGAACAATTGAAAAAAATTGTCTTATTATGTCTTATATAAATTTGATAATTATGTTTGATGGTATGTTCAGAAAATGGCAAAACATATGACCTTTTATTAGAGCATTTTAGTATTTTGTAAACACTTTTGCAATTATCAAATGTAAATCCCAAAATTTACAATTCAAATCTTGAATTTAACAATAAAATAATTGTCCCTTTAAATAAATTATTAATTGTTTAATATGTACAATATTTAGAATATTCGCAAAGACTCATTTATGTATAAAAAAAAACATCTCTCACATTTTGATAGATATAATTTATATAAAAATACACATGTTAAAAACAGACACTAATTGTAAAATTTAAATGTACAAATAATTAAAATATGTAAAACATATAAATACAATTTTTAGAACGTACATGGTGATTAACAAATAACAATAGGATAAGAAATATGCATTTCAATATTTGTATATATACCTCAAAATATATACTATTCGAAGCTAAAACCAGCTTGTGAACACGTAGCTTTTGTTCATCGCAGATCAATGTGACATCCACTAGAGCCTGACGTGCCAAAAGACCACTGAATCTTTCTGTAATATATCCCGCGTGGCCAGCCCACTGCAGGACACAATCCTTTGGTATCTCAACCATGACTACTACAAAAAGAAAAATAATAAAAGATCAATATTAAATATATAATTATATCAATATCAAAAGTACAATAAAATAATATCCGCTTCCATCTATACAGATTAATTTTAATCTTGATTCAATTTACTCTTCATATTTTTCTAATTCTTAGAACTAGAAAAAAATGAAAAATAAATTCAACAGAGATTAAAGATGGTAAGGAATAAATCTCTTATAAATATCAGAATCATAGTTTTGGTCATCAGACAGAATTCTTTTGTTTTTAACACCTATATAAATTTAAAATCTATGAAGCGCCATATTTAAGATAAAATATTGGTAGAAATTCACTAAAGTATGTATTCAATTAAATGAATCTTGGCAAAGCTGGAACCTATTATATAACATAGAGAATGGGATAAATGACAAACTTGTTTCTTGATAAATGTATAGACACAAAACGAAGCAAGATATGTGAAAGAACAAAGTTACTGTTTTTCCACTAGTTATTTTAGAGTCTAGCGAAATTCGAAGGCATTCGGGTGCATGCAAAACGAATAAATAAATTGATCAGACACAACTTTCTCTTTTCACATTTGTCTCTATCATATATAAACACATGTATAAGCTCTTTGAACAAATATACATTCTTACGTGTGCTCAAAAATTAAAACTATAATTTTTCTAGTGATAACTGCTTTAATAAGAACAAAAAATAATCGGCAAGACTTTCAGATTTCCGCAACGAAGCCACACGAGAGAAATGATCCCGAATGATGTCTGTTGGACGGAGTGACAATGGAAAGTCGTAGAAGGTACACCATCTCCTCCCGCATCATCAGGATTGGATGTTGATCACAATTTTGATTCTCTGGCAGGCTCGTGTACTCACCGGTACGGACGTGGTCGTTGTCGAAGTGCGCATCTGTGATCGGGTAACAGCGGCGTCCTTGCCGCGGTCGGGCATAGATCGTACAGATGAGACGCGTTCGTCGTAACGTTGTTGATGCGGACGCATGCGATCGTAGATCGCCGATCGCCGGCAGTGATGTCGCGCGTTAGCACGTGCCCTATCGAGGCTCATGAAACGCCGGCGAGATCGTAAGTCAGCGAAACCGACGGCCTTACACGACATTGGCCTCGAGATTTGACTTGCACCCCCGACAATCGCGTCTGCCAAGAGCACAGTGGAGCCAGTGGAGCACGGTATAAATAAGAATGTATAGATGGGTAGTGGATAGTGGATACTAGAGTCCTATATGTATATAAAGAGACCCGACATCGAACTCCCACCACCAAATCGGATCCCTACCATCACTCCTGCGTCGCCATATTTGGATCGCTCCAGTGTCGTAAAAAATAAATATATTCCAACACTCTGTACTTCGTTGCGACGCTATTGATCTCCCTGATTTACTAAAGATAGGCGCCAAAATTGAAAAAGAAGAATGTACTCCGTTGATTCCGTTACTCCGGATCTACAATAGATTTTTAAGCTTTAAGCCATAAGAAATGGACGAATCACAATCGATTATTCTTCTCGCATTTGGCTGTAATTGGACAATTTTCTTGTAAGCGCGTTCTGATAGCGTATTCGATTACTGACTCGACCCGACTCCGAGTCTGTTCTTTTTAGCCGCATTTCTTACACGTAATTTAGCTCTTCTTTTGCAGCTAAACAGAACAGACTATTGACTCGGAGTCGGGTCGAGTTAGTAAATCGAATACGCTATAAGATTATTCAATAGGAAGTTACTAGTTAGTACCCATATCAAGTGCAGGATGTAAACTAGGCAGGGCCGGCGAAGTAAATTTTTTCTATGTATGGAGTTTCGATTGAAGTAGGAGGGGGAGGGGTGTCATTAATATTATTGTTTATATATTTTATTTTCATTTTTTATAAAGCAAATGTTGCTGTTCTCATTTTGTTTTTAATTATAAAGTCGCGATTCAGCCATTAGATTAAAAGTATCAGAATATCTTATTTAAATCTTGTTTTTCTTATATTAGTTAATAGAGCCTAAGGGCCTGCGCACAATAGAGGAACAAGAATTAGATATTAATATTTCAACCTATCAGAAACCGTGTATTCCGATGTAATCAGCTTTTGATAGGTTGAAAGATGGAATTGATGGAAATGGAAGAGGCCCTTAATGGCCATAACCTATAAATTCGTGAACGTTTTATAACAATTATAGCGGGGAGTACAGACTCTTGCATAACGCATAACACGTAATGCATAAGAATATGTACCAATCGAAGTTCTCCGTTTCTTTCCCTTCCATGTAATAGAGAACTCTGGTTGGTTCAATTTCTATGCCTCATGTGTTATGCATTATGCAAGAATCTGTGCAGTGTGCTCCCCGCTTAACTCGTTTCGCGAGATAGACTGTCGTGTTTTTCTGCCATATTCTTTCGTTTTCGATGAATGAATCTAATTTTATTAAAGTTAGAGGTAAGGCAGCTATCCTAAATAATCAGTAAATATAATATAAGAAACGTCACATAATTGTGACAGTTATGGGCTCCACAATAAGGCTAATTCTATAATATGCATTTTGTTTGCTGTTTCTTGCTGTTTGTCTCTTGCCTTTATGATCAAGAAGGCAAAAGATAAACAGCAAGAAACAGGAAACAAAAAGCACATTGTAGAACAACCATAAAAGGAACGGAGAACAGAGAATAAGAATTTCAACTTACCAGAAATTATGTGTTGTGGAATACACAGTTTCTGATAAGTTGAAATTCTTATTCTCTATCCTCTGTTCCCTATTCTTTTTATTGTATAGAGCCTCTTACATTGTTTTACAATATTACTAGAGAGATCTGATATAACGTTTGGTTTGTATTATGTTACTGTTTGTCTTTACTGGAATGCTGTTGATGCAATAACATAATAAAATTTTATTGGATTTTAGGAATGTATGAAGATCCAAACTTTCTAATAGATACTGGACTATTACCACAAATTGCTCTAGAATGTCGAACAGTCAGAATAGGTTCTTACAAATATATACCTCAAGAAAAAGTAGTAATTTGCCGCAATGGTGTAAAACTTCATGTACCTTCATTAGAAAATGGTAGATTAATTTTATATATAACGGAAATGCTTGTGGATGGAAAGATTTATAAGTTCTTTGAAATATTTGGATATTTTACAGATTCTAGTTTTGTTACTTTTGATGTGAAGTATGAAGATATAATTAAGTTCTTTGTTCATTTTGGAAAGGCAATGCCAGTAATATTCTTTTATATATCTGCAAGAACAGGAACCATGATACATGAATTATTAGGGATGCAAGATCTAGTAGGACTACATGACCCCAGTGGAAAAAGTATTTACATGATATATATGATTCTATATTTTAAATAGTTCTGTAATTTGATGATTATTTTTAAAAATATTTAATCTATAATTTTTTTAACATTTATATATATATATATATATAAATAATACAAAAAAATATATAAAGATTTTTAAGGAGATTGTAATGATGATTATACTCCGTTCAATGAGAGAATGACCTCGGTTTGCGCGTAGGGAGCAATGTAACGCTGTACAAGGCTATGAAGATCTATGCAAAACAAACGAGTTTCGTCCAATCCGAGGTCATTCTCCCGTTGAACAGAGTATAGTTATATATAGTGTAAGTAGGACTTACACGCAGACAATTTATGTCATTGACACATCACTACATACTATTACAATTACATCAATATATCACATATGCATACACATAAATACATATAACAATAACGTTTTAATTGGACATCTAAATCCAATTCTAAGATCTCCATGTTGTTTTTTTTGTCCAAATTATTAATTTGTGGACTATTATTTTGTAAGTATAGACTGCACAGCTTTTATACAAAGTAAATGTCTCAATGTGACAGCTCATTCAGAGTACCAAATTGGACTAAGAAATAGAGAAAAATCTCAATTTCGAAATTTTTGTTTTTGGCATAAATTCCACCTTACAGATACGTATTAATGCCTATATTTTAATCTCGGAAAAGAATTTTCAAATCTGTGAAAGAGAGAAAATGTTAATGTTATACAAAAGTTACATAATTTAGTCGATAATACAGACGGCTTTAGGTGCACTCTTAATAGCAAACTCGAATGATTAATACTTTAAATTAATCAAATAAACAAGAACGCACGTTCTTGTGATAGCGAGATAATATTTTATTCTGTTGGTACATAAATAATGAGTATAAACGTTTCGGCTTCAATCAGGCCTTCTTCATTATACTCCATTAATACTTTATATATCTTTATTATTTATTTAGATCTCGTGCATAAATATATTACATTATTACCAAATAAGTTTCCGGAGAATTCAAAGACAATTCTAACAAGTTTATTTTCACGAGAAAATAAAATGGTCGAAATAACTCCTCAAAAAGCTAACGATTTACTTCAACGGACAGCACCAAAAGATGTACATATTTGCTTAAATTATATTTTATTTATTATACATGGTGTCCCAAAATAATCACCAAGTATATCATGGGCGGATAGAATGGACTAAACTGAATTGAAACTGAATTGTTCTCTACCTATTTTACAATTTTCGTAATAATTAACTGAATTAACAAGATATTAATTACTAAAAATTGTCGAAAATTCGTTTTCAATAACTTTTTACTCAAATACTATCAATTTTACAGAAAAACTGCAAGAAATAAAAATTGTTTATTTTTTCCTCACAGAGCTTTAAAAATTTTTTCAAAATTTGTTTTCGACTTTTTACTATTTTCTTATTTTTACCAACATGAGAAAATACAGTACTAAAAAATTTTGAAAAAATTCTTGGGATACCCGGTATATAATATATAACATATATTTTTTTAATATAACAGATATACATGTATTTTTATGTATTTTCACAGAATTTGTTACAGTTTATTACTATACAGGAAGAAAAACCGAGTCAAAACTTAGTAAATGATATCGATGTAGGAAATGATGATACACAAATGTGAGAATCTTATTAATAATCAACTTTTATCTTTCAATAATTTGATATTTGATATATCGGACAAAATTTTACAATCTCATCTATCTAACCTAATATTATTTCGATTCTTTGTGCATTATTATAAATTTGTGGTGAATGTCATTATTGAATGTTTGTTGTATGAAAACTATTTCTTTTTATAGAATAGTTATATATCCACCATCTCCTGCAAAAGGAGGAATAGCCATCAATACTGAACATTACTTATGTCTCGCAGAAGACAATTTCTTGAACGATGTAATTATAGATTTTTATTTAAAATATTTGACCTTAGAGGTATTATCAGAATTTGATCAACAAAGAACGCATGTGTTCAATTCGTTTTTTTACAAACGTTTAACTAGTTCATATGTTCAAGATGCTCAAAATACCGTGTCAATGACACTTGCTGCCAGGCGGCATGCAAGAGTACAGACATGGACGAAGGACGTCAATATATTTGAAAAAGATTTTATTATAATTCCTATAAACAAAGAGTAAGTAATTCTGTAAGTTTAATATTAATTTAAACTCAGAACAGAGCATCTTAAATATAGGGATGTATCAGATCATAAAATGCCAGATATCGGATATTGGATATTTGGAAAGAACATGACACCAGATATCTGATATTCGATCGGATAGAGTAATTGTCCGGGCGGATATTTTCTAATTTAACAATTTCTCGATTCTCTTTAAAAAAAAATGGAGAAAAGGAATACAAGGGAAAAATAGTGATAATAATTTTCTTTATTTTTTTAACGTAAAAAAAGTAGAAAGATAAACTGTGCAAGAAATTCAGCTGAAAAGAATAGAAAGTTGTATCCATGTGACGCAAACTTTCAATGTAAAATTTCAGCCGGATATATATTACCGGATATTAATGATATCCGGCTATCCGGCCAGATAAGGTCGGTTCTGAATATTTCCTGATACACCCCCACTTAAAAGTTAGAATCACTATTGGACATCAGATAAAGAAATCCATTGTATACACGAAGAGTTTAATTGCACGTAATGAGGGAAAAAGAAAAAATATTGAAGTTTTATTGTATTGTAATTTATCGTATATTAAATTTGTAACTTGTAATAAACTTGTAATAAACGAGTCAATCAATTTTATTTATTTTGTTCAAGAAATTCTATTGATTTCTATGATAACATAAGTATAGATATTATATTATTTTATAACAATATTATATTTATAGCGCACATTGGTTCTTGGCTATTATTTGTTTTCCTGGATTAGTTGAAAAAATTTCCACGTGTACTGCGAAAACTAGAGGAAACGATAATAATAAAACTGTGCAAAAGACCAAAAAAATAAAAGAGTTGAAGAAAACTATTACAATTGATTTTACAACAATTCCTCCTGCATCAATCATAACGATAGATAATGAATCTGAAAGAAACAAAGCAGAAGACAATGATGATAAAATAAAAATAGAAATAGACAAAAAGGTAGAATAAATTTTATCGTTGATTGTCTTCCCTTCTAAAGCCCATTTTAGACGATTTAAAATTCACGACCGAATTCAGGACAGAATTTTATTTATAATTACTAAGTATAAGCGTATTCAGGCCTATGACGGTCAAAGCTAGATCTTTTTTGCCTAAATAATTCTCAGTGAATTATTATTTATCTATTTAAGGTTTTCAGCACATTGTCAATTTAATTCAACTTGTGAAATTATTGCAGTAGTTTAATTGCGTTAGATAAAGTCCGAAAAAATTTCTGCGCGCAGTTTGAATAACTACAAAAATATGATATATATGCATGTACATATATAAGATATAGATAATTCACTGGGAATTATTTAAGCAGAAAAGATCTAGCTTTGACCGTCATAGGCCTGAATACGCTTATACTTAGTGTTTAATTCTTGTCGATTCGAATAAAAAAATCTTATTAGTGGTTTATTTATAATATTGAGTTTATAATATTGAGATCATGTAACATTGAATAGAAAACATTTGAAGAAGTAAATATATATAGTAAACTTATAAGTACACATATACAGAAAATATGTATCAGTGATATATATTTCCTGTATGTGTATACTTTTTCAAATGTTTTCTATGTTACATGACACCCAAAACTATAAATAGAATTCTATTCTGAATTATAGATCGTCTAAAGTAGGCTTTAAACAGTTGAATATACTGAAACATTTTACTTATAGAATAAGACTGACCAATCGAAAAAAAATGCAACCCAAATTAACGTTGAACTTGAGAAGCAGAAGGAAATCATCAAAAAGTAAATAGCATGCCCATATCATGTATTTGGCGTAATCTGTATATACTTGGTTTTATTTGAATGATTTAATTTATAGACCTTGTATACTAATATTTGATTCGCTTCCTGGTGAGAATAGAACACGAATAATTGCTACGTTAAGAGATTATTTAAGTTGCGAACATGTTGCCAAACTTGGTGTAAAAAAAATATTCTCAGAAGATACTATTAAGGGAGAGTTTCTGAAAGTACCCCGGCAATCAAATTTTGCTGATTGCGGATTGTATGTATTACAATATGTGGAAAGTTTTTTCAAGGTAAGTATAAAACAACTTTATTTTTTTATTTACTTTTGAAATGTCTGATTACGTATTATCAATGTGATTGAGTTCATTTCTTTTTTTTTAGGATCCTATTAAAGATTATACTTTGCCAATTAAAACCTTGAAAAAATGGTTTGAAGAAATTATCATAACGAGGAAAAGGGAGGAGATATCGAACTTGCTAATTAAATTGATGAATAATACCAAAGGGAATGAAACTTCGATTGATTTGCCTACTATAAATTTCCCCAAACAAGATGGCAAGCTGAAATCGAAAGTTAAAAATCGGACAGATATAAAAACTGCGGAGTTAGAATCCAAGAATAATAAAAGGTTTACAAGTGATACAAATTTGTTAGGTCAACTTACTTGTTCATTCCTTATTCTCTGAGTTTTAATTCGACCGTAATGCATTTTCTCGTATAATTAAATAAAATATTAATCTCGTCCCACATTAAATTAATACAACTGCATTAATTTCGATCATTTTATCGATTTTTAGGTCATCGACTGAAATGCGGAATCAAGATAACTTTGGTATCACTGCTAAAAAATACAAAATGGAAATTTTTTAAATATAATAGTAATAAGTATAAACGTACGTTTTGACCCTTTACATTATTGTTTATATAAAATCTTTGTTATATAATAAATACATGTAATGTGGATTTTCGACGATTATTTTTATTTTTACTTTTTGTACGTTATAAATTGTACACTGAGGATGAGACCCAATGTAAAGGGTCGAAACGTATGTTTATACTTAATAATTTTTATTTTGCACATTAAATAATATTATAAGCATGAATAACTAGCTTGGTTCACTAGCCCTTTATTATTTATAATAAATTAATACATTAATAACATCAATAAATCAATAAAACATAAATTTAATCATTCTAATGTGATATTGAATTTAACACGAATAAGTTTCTCCTTTGTATAATCATATAAAATATAAATCTTGTGACTTTCTATACGTATATATTTTTGTTTCCAAATTATGAAAATGCGACTATGTGATACTAATAATATTTATATGTATACATTGTATTCATTGTTATAGATTTATATAAATTTATGACTACAAAGTGTTTTTCCTAACATATATTAAATATACATAATTGCGCTGATTAAATAAATAAGATATATTGTACGTTAACAAAGCCCTAACATTATATAATATTAATTTTATTCATCGAGAGAGATAAACTTCACATTATATGTATATAAATCTTAACTTAAATTACGTCTTAATTATGAGCGATTTTTATATATTTTTTTTTCCTGAGAAACACTTCATTCGTCTGGAGAATAAATGTGTCACGAGAGTGATATCGATTTTTATTTGTTTTACAAAAATAAAAATTTAAATATATAATACATTATTTTTCGAAATCGGCATTTTTAAGTTACTGCATTTATATATAGAAGGATAGAGAGGGAATGGAAAAAGATTGTTATACACATTCGTCGCATTTTAATCACGCTGTCACGTCTCACGTCTTCCAATCATTCGATTTTTCTAAATCCTTGCAGCATATTTGATTTAAGGAATATTGCTATAACACATTAAATTTTAATAAAAATTATATATAAGGGAGCGAAGTTATTGTACGACGCTATCTCTCTACCTATATTTGTCAAGCAAGAAAACATTCCACTATAATTATGGTTGAGAAAAGAAATCTGATATTTCGAAGCACAACTGAGAAGATATAGATTATATTCTACGGATCGGGAATGCCATAACGCCGGACTCGAGTCCGTTTATTCATCCGTGGAATCGAATTTCCGTGTCTAGCTGTTTGATCGTTGTCGGTATGTTCGTTGTGGAAAGAATAGAAGACGGGGATGTCGAAGCCGCGATCGTTTCTAGATCTTCTTTAGATAGATTTTTCATGAGCCAATTATCGATCACAGGCACGTTTTCCTCGTTCCATTTAGTCTCCTGATTAATGATCTTAAGCGCTTTCTTGATGATGGCGTCCGCTGATTCGAATTCGTCTTGGTGATCCATGTATAGCTTGCTCACCTTATCGTAACCCTCCTGCGTGTTGAACGACGACGTGGCAAAATTGACGATGCCGTCCCAGAGGAAGGTCTTGTTCTCGAATTGCTCTTTTACGGTATACCAGTGATCGAGCAAGAAGTTGAACAGAGTTTTATAACCGGTCGCACTGCCGGTTAGCATACTGAAGATCAAGTGGATGTCCGAATCCGTGAAATTCTCGTTTTGGTCCAGCACGGCTACTTGCAGCAATCTGATGCGGAGGATGCAAAAACAATGATAAATATTTATTCATTATTTTCTCGGGACAAGGAAAAACCTAGGTAGAAATCAGAATCATAATTAAGTCATAATAATATTATAAGATGTCATCATGACATCATTTGATACTTACAAATGACAAATAAGATCATGATGGTATGTCATTATGATATTATAACTTTTATGTTCTAATACGGTTCTTAGATAACCGTCATCTATATCTCATTATTGTTCTCTTCTATTAATGTAGATTAATTTTAATCTCGGTTTAATTTACTCTATCTTTTTCTAATTTATAGAACTATAACAACAAAATAAAAAGTAAATTAAACCGATTAAAGTTAATCTATATTGGTACAAGAGGATATATACAGGGTGTCTCATAAATGGGATAGCAGTCGCATTGGGGGCATAAAAGGGGTCAAGGGAAACAAAAAAGTCTTATACATTTTGAGATATTCACTGTAGTTTTCGAATTAAATAATAAAACGTCTAAGTCAATGCGCGGTGCAGAGGGATTAGACGGTTTATTTTTTAATTTGAAAACTACAAGGAATATCTCAAAATAGCATACGACTTTTTTGTTCCTCTTGATCCTTTCTACGCACCCAATGCGGCTCCTACCCCATTTCTGAGACACCGTATATATAAATGAACATATACAAGAAATGAATATATGAACACACATATGAATACATATGAGTACATATGCAGATTGAAGAAATTAAACTTTACCAACGAGATTTAACTTTATTCAAACAGCATACATTTCGAACTTTTAAATAATCTACATATTTTACTCAAATTGCGCAAACTTTAAGCTTGTTAGGAACATGGAGAATAGTCTTCGAAAATTTTGAGAAAATTATATTTAAACACACTTGTTTTTTGACTGTATGTTAGAAATAAGATTTATTCAAAGCTATAAATTTTGTGAATATACTGACCTTTCGATCTTGTTTGCATCCTTCGGACATCCAGCGAGAGTCTTCAATAAGTAGGTGCGCTCATTCTGCTTTCTAGCTAGGCTGGTCTTCGGGAAATTTATGACTCGCTGCAATCCAAACTCCCATTCCTCGTCGGTGCCCCATTTGAATACGGGGCAAAGGAATTTGTTGGCGACCCTGTGAAGCATAATTCTCGCCAGTTCAATAATTGATCAGTTTTATTATTACTGATAAAATGTATGCTTATTAATTTGATTAACTCGTAATTAGTAACACCTTACATTTTCAATATTTTTTTCTCTCTTATTTTATCGTTAATCTACCGTAGAATTTTGCACAGGTCGATTTCGGTACTTCAATTTCATTATATAAAAAAATTAGACATTTCTATGCATGGTAACTCGATTTACTAAAGAATCATCTTAATAAGTGATTTGTTCCTATGATTTCTGATACTGACGGATTTCCTTTGTCCGGCTCTTCGTCAGTCAACCATTTTTTGAATTGATTTCTGGCTTCCATAACGCAAGGCTCATATCCAGCACGGCAAAGGAAGTTCTGCATAAGACCACGCATGTGCGTTTTCCAGGAAGGTTCATCAGGTTGAGGATTCTCTCCAAGTTCCAAGTAGAGAGGCTTCAATAAGCTGCGAATATACGCCTGAAATTAAATTTTATTTAATTGTTAATTAACGTACAACCTGACGATAAGAAATTAAAGAACAAATTGAAGTCGGAACCTGTCTATATGAAATGATGTATTTTACACTGGTTGTGTGACAGAAAAAATAGTTACAAATATTATAATTCAACTATAGTTTATAATTACAATTTCTATTTTAACCCTAATATCGAATATTAGCTGCATCTACTCAATTTTGTCATTTATAATGCTAATATTGAATATTAATAATTTTAATGAATTGATCAAAAGCACCATCTACTCACTTCAAATTTCAAATATACGTCCAAGCCCTCGATGCGCCGACCGATATGATTAATCATTGTGAATACTGGTTCCCAAACCACATGGCTCTTTTCTTCCTTGAGGAAGAGAGTCATGTTCATCGCAACGCCAAAGCACAGTTCGCCAGCGTACGCCAAGTTCCATGCATCGTGCAGAAGTTTTGCTCTGGTTAACGGAGGTATTTTCTCACGATCTGGCCCTTGCAGATATTGCGACAACATCCTCCAGTTGCACGTATCGTAGTTTACCGGGAACATCCCTGCGAAGTAATATTATTAATTTGTTAGTAAACATGGTTGGGTTATTCATGTTCTGTGCATTTCTCTTCTTTGAAATACTAGGAGCGCTTAGCTTATATATTTAATAATATCCTCTGTTCTTTTCTTTTTTTTAAATACACAATTTTATAAAGACTTTGTAAAGATGTTAAAGTTATAATACATGTATAAGAATCACTTAATAATTTTTGTATACGTGTAAATGTGGTGAAAATTATGGAATATGAACGACTATCGTGTATAGTAGGAACCAAAAAAATTATAGTGAATACTAAGGATTAATTACTAAAAAGAAAAAATAAATTTGTACGCTTTCAGCACATGATATCTGTAAATAACTTCATTCAGTTGATATAAATTTTTTCTAAACATTTAAAGATATCTAACATTTACAAGATATACATTAAAAAAATCAAATGTTGGTATAAAAATGTACAATATAATGTGTGTTAAAGAGAAATCAAACTATTTTAATTAAAATCATTAATATTGTAATTTGCTGTTAAGAAGAATTACAATGGTTTTCTATTGAAAATATTGTTCGAATATCCACCTACCGATTTCTTCGGGATTCACAATAATGAAGTTATCTTTGTCGGTAATGTCCGAGATAGTGTAATTTTTCGGTACGTTTTCTTTTTTTAGCCATACAGTCGGTTTAGTGTTGTGGAAGTTCAATTTATTTTGTGCCTGCATCACAATCGGAATGTCCCACTGATAGGACACTTTCGCTGTAGATTGCGGTGGTATGTCTCTCAGATAGACTTTCTAAAAGCACAAATAAAGTATTATTTATTTATAAGTGTTACTTAAGAATATACAATAAGATGTTCTTTTATCTTTTTTTCATTCTAGAAAAGATTTAAATTAAAATTTTTATATATTATTATTTTTTCATTTACCAATATTTATGTAAATAATTAGGTGTAAAATAAAGTGATAAAAACTGTAATAAATATGGATTTGAAAAAAATAAGTATAGCAAAAATTGTAATATCTAACTAAGTAATTAAGAATTTTATAATCGTAAATCTAAAAGAGTATAAAGCTCTGCTATTCGAAATATTTAATGATCTAAATATTTAAATCTGGCATTAAATGCTTCATTATTT